CTTCTCAGATGATCCATCCGTCTCCAGATGGAAACTGGAACTCAGGGCTTGTGCGGAACCAATTAAAGTAATAAATTCCCTCCAAAATTTGGAGGTAAACTGTGGGCCGTGATCTGAAATCACCCTCTTGGGGGTGCCGTGGAGGCGGTATATGGTTTGAATAAACAGTTTGGCCAGTTTTTTAGCATTAGGAATTGAAACACATGGAACAAAATGTGCTTGTTTAGAAAACAGATCAATGACTACCCAAATAACAGTGTTGTGGTTACTTTCAGGTAAATCAACAATAAAGTCCATAGCAATTTCTTTCCAAGGTTGTTGCAGAATAGCTATTGTTTGTAACAGTCCCAAAGGTTTTTCTCCTCTCTTTTTTGCAATCGCACATGTAGGGCATGTAGACACATATTCAGATATGTCCTTTCTCATAGTAGGCTACCAAAATTGCCTACATAATAAATGTAAAGTTTTTATAAATCCAAAATGTCCAGCTGTTTTGTCATCATGGCCCCTTTGCAAAATGTCCTTACGTAGTGAAGATGGTACATATAATTTGTTTCCCATCCACCAGGCTTGTTGTTCATTTGTTAAAGTATTCTTATGTTCCTGGAACCATTCATCTGAGTCCAAAGCTGCATTTATTTTTTGAAGCAGGTCGCTAGTAGGTGTTTGTTTAGGAGTTTTTGTTTGAGCTCTGGTAAGGGCTACTGAGCCTGGTTGTGAATTGGGAATCACTGGTGCTACTGTCTGCTCTTGGCTGTTATGCTGAGGTAATCTGGATAAAGCATCAGCCAAGAAGTTTTTTCCCCCAGGGATGAACTTCAGTGTAAATTTGAAATGGCTGAAAAATTGAGCCCAGCGAACTTGCTTAGGAGAAAGCTTTCTAGGTGTTGTGAGCGCCTCTACATTTTTATGATCAGTCCAAACCTCGAAAAGATGGGGTGACCCCTCCAGGAAGTATCTCCATGTCATTAAAGCCCAGCGAACTGCAAAAGCTTCTTTTTCCCAAACAAGCAATCTCCTTTCGGTTTCAG